TAGCACAACAATGATCTTTCTTAACCGTAATGACATTATCTTAGGCCAAGCTTCCTGGATAGACTTGGATTGAAATAGCGCCTACTGAAGGGCTGTTGACTGTGTAATCGGCAAATTGAGAGAGGGAAAAGGCAAACAAAAAATAAAAGGAGCTACATTAACTCTTAAAATACCACACCTTTTTAACAAATGTGGACATGGATGGAAGTCCTTTGAGTTAAAACAAGCCATCTCTTGCTATGTGTACTAGGCATGCAAAAATCCTAGAAATTGTAGAATGCTTAAAATTATGTTATGAGCCCTGGCTGGTTTGGCTCAGTGGACACTGCATTGGCCTGCAGACTGAAGGGGCCCGAGTTCAATTCCAGTCAAGGGCACATGCCTGGGTTGCGGGCTCGATCCCCAGTAGGGAGAGTGCAGTAGGAAGCTGATCAATGATTCTCTCTCATCATTGATGTTTCTATCTCTCCCTCTCCCTTCTTCTCAAAAATCAATAAATATATATTTTTTAAATTCTTTTATGTTTTCAAAACTCAAGTATGTATGCCAATAGAGGTTATATAGACAGATTTCAATGAATCCCAGTACAGTATTTGGCTCTAACACTAAAATAACAGGACTTACGAGAAAAATAACATTAGAGACATAGCACTCAAAACTTAAAACACTTTGAAACCTGAGTCTCCTCTACATTAACCCTTTAATTTTTGGACATTTCTAATGGTTGAAAACTTTTCCATCTGTAGAAGAGATATACATCTACCTCCCATTCTTAATTTTGTCTCCTGGAAAACTGGGAAAAAAATATTTTTCTCTTTGATAAGAACTCTCAAAATGACACCGTGTTTTCTTTCCTCTAAGTTAAATGTGTGTAATTGTTCTTAATATTATTTAGGTATCAAATTCTTTCTTTATTCTGTGTGATTTTTCTTGAAGTTTTTTTCATTTTATCAGTATCACCTTCCAAGTGTGGCATCCAAATGAAGTGTGATGAATGAGGTAAAATCTGGCTAATAGGCTATTATTACTCTACTAGAGGCCCGGTGTACAAAATTCGTGCACAGGGGTGCCCCTCAGCCCAGCCTGCACCCTCTCCAATCTGGAACCCCTTGAGGGATGTCCGACTGCCAGCTTAAGCCCAATTCCTGCCTGTCTGCCTAATTGCCCCTAACTGCTTCTGCTTGCCAGCCTGATCACCCCCTAACTGCTCCCCTGTTGGCCTGATTGCCCCCAACTGCCCTCCCCTGCTGGCCTGATCACCCACAACTGCCCTCCCCTGCCATGATCCGCTTCCTCTGCTGGGACCCGCCTCCTCTGTGCCACGCGAAGCTGTGGGACCCCCAGGCCTCACTGCATGAAGCGGCCACCAGGACCCGCCTCCGCTATGCATGCGGCCATCTTGTGATGACATCGCGCATGAGGGCCACCTAGGCTTATATTAGTATAGATACTTGTCGCCTCCTTGTCACTGTGGCCTATCTGTCTATTTATGAAGTCTAAACTCAAATTATGTTTCCAGTGTACATATGACAGCATTAACTTGTCATGAGCTCATGATTGACAAAAATCCCAAGCCCTTTTCATAGAAATTAATGTTAAGGCACATTTTGTTCTTTCTATATTTCTTCAGTTGATCTTTTAACTCATTATATCACTTTACATTAATCCCTATTACATTTTATCTTATTAAGCCTGGTCCTTGATTTCAACCTGATTCCAGATCTCAATTCTGTTATCCAACATATTAGCTAAACCTCCAAAGTCCATGTTAACTCTGTTTCCAAAGCACATCAACAATGTGTGGACATAGCCTCAAAACCTGCTGCACATAACCAGCCACCTGCTGACAGCCAAAGATATTGATTACTTTCTACAGGTGTGACCTAGCATTCAGTGATTCACAAATATATTATCAACCTGACTACATGTCTCTTTTTTTTGTCCACCAATATATTATCCCTATACAAGGCTTATACAAGATGGGGCCAAAGTAGGTTTATAGTTGTGAGTATGTGAAACAGAGTTTATTCTTATGCTAGAGGCCTGGTGCACAAATTTGTAGATGGGTGGAGTCCAGCCAGCTAGGGGGAGGGGCTACGAGAGGTTAGCCGACCTGCCCCACCCCCAATTGGGATGGTTGGCAGGCTGTAGTGCGCATCATCGTGACTGGTTGTTCCAGTCATTCCAATCATTCCAATTGCTTGGCTTTTATATACATAGATTATTATTAATTATTGTATTCTTTTTCATACAAACAACTGTAAACTCACTTTTGTCCCACAATGTATACCTGTACAATTTTCTTCATCATTCAACCTAGAAGCTTTATTAAACAAAGGAATTTGGGAAATTTGAAAAGCCATGTTCTAAGTGACAACATAATTCCTCATAACAAGTACTTCTGCTTTTCCAAAGGATACAAGAGATGATTTTCATTACTCTTTTGGAATATTTTTCCCAAATTGATCATCAAGTTCATCAACCTAGTGTTCAAAATCTCTCTCTCTCTTTTTTTTTTTCATTTCTGGATTTTAATGTCTATTTTGGCAGCATTTGCTCATGTCTGGTTTTTCAGCACCTCTATCATTGTCTAAGACATTTCAAAATGCCAGAAGAAGTTGAGAAGTTCATTGTCATGTTCTCTATTCATGAGTAAATGTAGAAACCAAAGAGGATTACTGGAGTGCAGGATTTTCTGCCATATTCATAATCCCCTGGATTCAACATTGTGACATAGTGAATATTAAATAGATTGGACTTGTAGATTTTTTGGATTTTTCTAACAAGACAGAAATAGGTAATGGAATATCTCAAGTTCAGCTCAGAGGACAACATTTTTCACAATCCACTGAATTACTCAAGCTTGATAATCTGGTAAGATAAGTCCTTTCACCTTGTTATTAATTTTAGTATTATTTTGGTTATCTTTGGTCTTTTTCATTTTCACATAAGTTTTAGAATTAGCCTCTCAGGTCACATCCACATAAATGCAATGTAAGCATATTACAAAAGGTGCTGAATTTTTTATTGTGATGGATGCATTGAATCTAAATCAATTTGAGAAGATTTGAAATATTAAATATAGTATACCTTCTGACTTATTTCGATATTTTTAAAATTTTGCTCAATAATGTGCTATAATTTTCTGTATAGAGGTTTTCCCATCTTTTGATAGATTTACTTGATAGATTTATTTTTATAGGCATTTAATATTTTTATATTATTGTAAATGGTGTTTTTATCTCTTCATCTTTCATTTGGTTTTACCTGTTATATAAAATAAAATTTATTGAGTTAAAACACAACGATTTTGCTAAATTTGCAAATTAATTCTTGTAATTTATCTTTAGGTTCTTGAATTTTTTACCTAAAACTTAATATCACCTCTGAATAATTACAACTTCATTTCTTCTTGTCTAATCTTTATAGCTCTTATTTTTATTGCCTTCTTGAATGACTAGAAGTTCCACTAGGGCATCTTTTCCTTGGTCCTAAACACAAAGGGATTATTGGAGTGCAGGATTTTCTGCCAAATTTAGCTGAGAAATTTAGCTGTAGAAGTTTTAGTAAATATCCTTTATTTGAGAAACTTTCCTCTTTCCTTCTATCTAAGAATCTTTTCATCATAAATTTTCTCAAATTATTTCACAAATATTTATAATGTTGTCTTTTGATATTGTAATGTGGTGAATCACATTGGTTTATTTTCAAAATTTAAACAAACTTTGCATTCCTAGAATATAAAAAATTTAGTCATGGCGTAATATATTGTTAGATTTTGTTGGAATTATATGATTTACTAGTAAGATTTTTTGAACACTTGTTAATATGTGAAATTATCTTGTAATTTTTCTTCTTTTGTCTGATTTGGAATCAAGGTTTAGAGAACCTCCATGAAATGAGATGGGGAATTTTTCCCCATTACCATTTTTGGGAAAATTTGTAAATCATTGCCTGTAAGGCTTTTTTTAAATGTTTAACAGAATTTAGTAGAATTTAAATATGCAATGTTTCATTATCATAGCATTTATTTTCAAATATATGATGGTTTTCTGTTTTTTATTGATTATTAGATTAACTGCACTATGATCAGAAAATCACTCTATATATTTTGATCTTTCTTGAGAAGAGCACATCCTGGGCCTCCTCTACCTCATTTCCTGATTCTAGTGAAGATCTTCCACTCATGTTCTCTCCCTACTTTGAGGACCCCTTATTTCTCTCTTTTTTTTTAAATATACATATATTTATTGATTTCAGAGAGAGAAAAGGAGGGAGAGAAACATCAATGATGAGAAAGAATCATTGATCAGGCCACCTCCCACACACCCCCTTACTGGGGATGGAGCCCGAAACCCAGGCGTGTGCCCTGACCAGGAATCAACCCCTAACCTCCTGGTTCATAGGTCGATGCTCAACCACTGAGCCACACAGGCTGGGCAGGACCCCTCATTTCTCTAGCCCAGCACTGCTCAACAGAACTTTCTCTGAGGACAGAAATGTCCTATACCTGCACTCTCCAATACAGTAAACAGTAGCCTCATGTAACTATTGAGCACTTAAAATGTGGCTAATGGAATCCAGAAAGTGAGTTTTAAATGTTATTGCTTTTAAATTGATTAAATATGCATCTAAATAATCAAAGTGACTAATGGCTACCATATTGGGCAGCACAACTCTATCTCTGTTAGTCAAGATTGAGTCAGGAGAGAGTTATTTACATAGAGAGCACATAACATAAATAATTGTTAATTAAAGTATAAATGCGTTAATTAGAGAAAAAAAAGAAAACTCTAAGGCATGACAGAAGTAAAACCACAGGAAGCCGCTTCCTTCCCTAGAGTTTAAGGAAACGGAAAAACTCCAGAATACTTGAACTTTGCTTAGAGGAGGGTCCCATAAGCTGGGTCTTAGGCCTCTGAAGAAAGAATGCGGGTGGGGGGAGGGGCCACACAAGGAAGCTGTATAGTGGTACCTGTAGGAAACACTGCAAACCTTACCTTGCTGCCCAGGAGAAGGAGTGTTGCTAGGGTGATATTTACAGTAGCTTCAAGCAAACAGGAAGCCAGCAGGAACCAACAAGAAAGGATCAAGTCCTTCAGCCTCCTCATCCCTGCAGTCTCCCTCTTGCACTCTCTTCTGGCTGAGCCTAAGGGAGCAAGCAGAATCCAGGCCCCAGCATCACCAAGCTGACGACAGAAGGCTGAGAGCCTAAACTGACACAATCCCGTATTTGTGTCTCCATTCTCCCCTTCTCCCTTGTTTTCCCCAAGCCCAACCTTATCTGGTCTCTGGGAGGGAAAGCAAACCAGTAGACATGCCTCTGAGAACCTTCCATTCCATTATACGATTCAACCATATCTTACATCTTTGTTTCAATTCCCGTAGGACAGCGGTTCTCAACCTGTGGGTCGCGACCCCTTTGGGGGTCGAACCACCCTTTCACAGGGGTCGCCTAAGACCATCGGAAAACACATATATAATTATATATTGTTTTTGTGATCAATCACTATGCTTTAATTATGTTCAATTTGTAACAATGAAAATACATCCTGCATATCAGATATTTACATTACGATTCATAACAGTAGCAAAATTACAGTTATGAAGTAGCAACAAAAATAATTTTATGGTTGGGGGTCACCACAACATGAGGAACTGTATTAAAGGGTCGCGGCATTAGGAAGGTTGAGAACCACTGCCGTAGGAGATAGGGAAGAGATATTGGCTCTCCATGTATGATAGAAAAGGAGAAGAGAATTGACAAAGGACAATTAACTTTAAAGATATAACCTTGCCACCTTTTTACCCACTTTTGATAAAGACACTGGTAGGGAGAAATATTTTCCACTAAAAGAGAAACCGCAAGTGGGAATTGACACCCTCCGTGCTGTGGAGCCATAGAAATTGGTGAGGCCCACAGACAACAAACACATCGCTGCCTGAAGGGGGCAGCAGCGGCCCAGCCAGCCACCCACTGCACTGTGGTAATGCGAGCCCAGTGTTCCCAGATCTCATTTTTCTGAGAGATGCCAGAAATCTGGAGTTTTATGTGAAAGCTTCCAATTTCAACATGTTGGCTCAACAGTTTTTTAAACATTGTACAAGCCAAATGAAACACTGGGATGGGCCAAATCTAGCCTGTGGGCCAGGGTTTGGGACTTCAGCAGAGCAGCATGCAGATGAAAGGGGATCTGTGGCGATATAGAGACCTCAAGTATCACATCACATGACCCATGGGCAAGAAGAGCCGAGTTCAAAGTTACGTGATAACCCGAACTGTAATGCAATCTTGGTCTCTTGTGTGAGGCTTCTTTTTGCTCTTCCTCTTGTAGTTTCCTTTTCTTTCTTTATTTTTGTTTTGTTTTTAGCTATTGTTGGTGATAACGTTTGGACAAAGTCAACCTACCCTAGCACTGTCAGCCATTAGCATGATCATTTGCTTAAATGTGGAATTAATTTAAAAAGAAAACTTTGGAAGAAATAAACTATATAAATCAAATATATAATCATTATTCTGAAGTTTTGGAATTTGCTTCAAAAGAGTTGGCACCTCTTTAGTTTCGCTGTGAGAGCAATAATCAATCATTGGAGCATCTAGTAGGATATGTAAGCTGGAGGCAAATTGGAATAAATACTAATATATATGCATACATATAAATACCAACTAATATATATGCACATATATAAATATACATATATGCATTGAACATATTGCATAATCATATATTAAATCCTATGGTCTTTGGCAGAAACTTCTCTATAGCTCTATTATAAAAATGATAAAGTATATTGTAAAATATAATGTTCAGACATTAAAACTTGAATTCAAAGTTTTGGGATATTTGTCAATTTTTGTCAAAGTTTTCAATAGGTTCTTTGATGCTTGATCCTTTATTTGTTTGAGTATCAGAAAAGCTTTTTTCCATATGGAAGCTTTACACATATTCCCAGGCCACATGGAACAGACACTTTGACTTGTATGCATAAGATTTGTGATCTGTGTTAAGCCATTTTAATTTCTCTTGTAGTTACAGATGAGGCCATAAATAAATACATGGCACATGTTGTATAAATTGTGTCATGAGTTTTTGAGTATCTTATTTGCTCTTGCTCATCAGAATTGAATCACTACATAGGCCCACACTTTATAGGAGCTGTACCAGTAAGCAGAGGGTTTCATCAAATACAATATTTCTCTTCCTTCTCTACCTTCATCCTATTCAAATAAGTACTTTACATTGACAAACTACCATCATCTTTATCTGTACTGAAGTTTATACTTGTAAAAGAGGGATAGTAAGGAGTTTTGAAAGTATGATTCATTTTCTCCTAAAATCTTGTCTTTTTTCATTTCATTTATAGAAGCCGAAGAGAAAGATATTCACTCGGCTAGAAATCTAGCAGACTGCATCTTCAGGTCTCTCTCTATTATGCTCTACCATTTGTCATATGTCCATGCTTAAGTCTCAGATGACAACCATTTCACAGGATGAAATGCTCAGAAAGGAAAATAAAGTAGGACTTTAGATGATAACACCAGTTACTAGTAGCAAATGCAAGATTTTGATAGACAAGAATGATAGCTTCTGTTCAAAAGTTTACTTTCGTTTTTAAAATTAATGTTTCTTTATTAGAGTAATAAATTCATTATCCTAATTCCTTCTTAAAATTTTAAATTCAAAATACAAAGCTTATTACTTTATTTATTACTCCAAAAATTATTAATGGTCATTTTTAAAGAGACTTAGGTTAATTTATAAACATCTTAAAACATAATCATTTAGATATTTGGGTATTTAATTGTATGATTAAAAAAATTTCCAAGTGTGTAAGTCATTCTTTTATATATAATAAATTAAACATAAATATAATTGACATCAAGTTCTCTTACATTTTCCAAATTATTCATAAATATTAATATTCAACCTTAAAATTACAAGTCTAAATTGATTATGCAGATTGTGCATCTTGCATTAGAATCTTTATCTAATATTATTTAATGACATGGTAGGCATTAAAGCTAATAACCAATAACCCACTTTTCTTCCTTCCAGATTCAAGGTAAAAATGTGCTTCCCTGTTCAGTGAAGTTAGGCCTGAGCACGTGACTTGTTTTGGTCGATTAAATATGAGCAGAAGCAACATGTGTCACTTTCTAGTCAGAACTTCAAGAGCCAGTGCTACCTACGTTCTCTAACCCCAGAAGGAATTTCTCCAACAGACTACCTTGGGCCTTCATCTGCAACATCAGGTCTTCCTGATTCTACTACTCACTGCTATTGGGCTCAAAATGGAAAATCAGCTCTCCTCGGTTGCTTGCCTGCTGGCAATTTTTGAACTTGCCAGCCTCCATGGTCACATGATACAATTCCTAATAAATAAATAAAAATCTCTTTCTCTATGTAGCACATCTTAGTAGTCCTGATTCTCTGGAGAATCCTATCTAGTATATCCATGTTGTTCTCCAATGTCCCTGGACCTTTGAGTTTGTTCCCATTTGTCAGGGCTTTGAAAGGAAATAGATTGAGAATCAATACCTTCTTATTCTGCCTCCCATTTATCCTTTTTTTAACTATTTAGGAAAATCTGTGATTTTGGTGAGAAAAATTTAGAATGTACTTTCTGTGTTTAACTGTTATATTCCCTTCAGAGTATAATCTCAAGATTCTTTAAAGCAGTTGTTTATTTAAACAATTTTATTGTTGCTAACATGTGTCTTTGGAGAAACTGACATGCAAATGAAAAAGAATCTTCTTCTATGGATATTGTCTTCTTATAGTGAATTAGTGTGATAGTTCATTAGATTTAGGGGAAATTTTAGAGATTAAATGCTGTTTTACACCATGTTGAATAGACATGGTAAGGTTGACGAGGAAACAGTTGAGAATTTGTCCTCCACTTATTCATTAAAAGCAGCAGAGGGAAGATTATATCAGAGGTTTAGAATTTTTTTCCTGGGCTGGAGAAAAAAAGAAAGGACAGTAAAAAATTTAGGTGCTTCTTTTTAGGAATAAGATCTCTCTTGCTATCAATTCAGTCTAACCAATCATCTCACATTAATGTGCACTCAGAAGAGACTATCTGTATTAGTTCTTATCCAGTGAAATGAGCTTACTCTACAGGAAAAAGATTGAGAGCTAAATCCACTTCTGAGATTTTTATATTAGGTGAATAAATATAGAAAAAACTCATTTTATGCAGTAATTTGAGGATTTTTAACAACCCTTTCTTCAAAGTAAGAGAAGTGATGAGGTGTGAAGGACAACAGAATTTGGAATCATGAAAATCAGGCTCCATTATTCACAAATCTGTATGAGTTTGTTAAGATTCAATCTCCCTGCCCATTAAAGAAGATAATCATAATTTCTCTGCAGGTTTGTTACCAGAAGTAAAGCTAATGTGTGTAAAATGCCTTGGAGTAAGTCCTGACTACATAGATGCTAGTATTTTAGACAATCTTTAAATTGCGACTCTACCCTGTGCGAGATGCATCTCATTGCCATAAACTCATGGAATATGGAAAGATGTGTTGTTTTGTTGGGTTTTTATTCTAATGAAGTCCTTTGCTAGAAATTTTATCATCTGCCTTCAGGTTTCTGGGTCAAAATGAAATGAAAAGCCCTAATTTTTGTTTCTCTGATGAAGGAATCAAAAAGTGGGAAAAGAAGTATTCTAGACCAAAATGATGGGGATGGAGAAAGAAAAGGAATAAAGCAACAAGTATTGCAACAGATTGTCATTCACTCTCAAGGATGGTTGTACGCACATCTTACCACAGAGATCTGGAATCTTTCTGGTCTAGGTGGAAACTAGACAACTTGCTTTTCTAGGAGTATTTATGTTGTTTTAAGTAATGAGGGCTGAATGTGGTGAAAATTGTTCTAGGAGGCAACAACAGAGTGGTAAAGAGAGCAACTACTGCAGTCTGACTTCCCAGTGCTAATGACTTCCCAGTTGTGTGGCTTGTGTGAACCCAACTCTTCAGCCAGGAAATGAGGATCAAAATAGTCTCTACCTCAGAGAGTTGTTGGAAGAATTAAATGAATTAATACAAGGAAAGTATTCAGGATGACATTCGTAATACCCTAATGTGTATTACTACTTGTTATTACTGCTGA